TCTGCGGACATTCCCGTGCCCGATGTCCGATCTGGTGACAGTTGAAACATTTTCCTGTCCTCATGTATTCTTGCTTGGCTTCGTCGGTGATCCGATCAATAACCATGGCATCCCTATCTCTGGCTGGGATATATCTTTGATCTCCGCGACCGTTCTTCTTCTGGATTTGTCGGGAAGGAAACCTGCTTCTCCGAGCTAGCAATCTTGCGTAGCAATTATCCAGATCGACTACCGCAGCGATGTAGTCATCGAGGTTCTTGGGTACCCCTCCCGCGTTGAACATTTTGGTTAGAAGTCCTCCGTTGAGGCCGTTTTCGAAATGATAGATCATCATATGTTCTTCTTTGATCTTTGCTTGGGCAAGCAACCTCTTGAAGTCTGCAATGTACGTCTGCAGGCCTTCTGGGCCTTGTTTTAATTCCAGGAGTCGTGCCAATGCGGTCCCGGATGGGTCAATCGGTCCGAAGGCTTTGTCAAAGCTTTCGTTAAACTCTTTCAAGGTTCCATAGCCCTTCTTTTGTCCAGTTGAGTCGATGAATTGGGCTTCTGCGAGGAATTCTTCTTTCCATGACCTAGCATTTCCTTCGTTCATGAACGAGGAGATAAAGATCACTTTCTGAGTGTCGGTTTTATAGATTTCCGAGTTGATATCAATGTAAGCATTGCATGAGAGCATGAATGACTTGGACTTGTCTCTGTCGCCATCAAATGTAGGAGGATGGTTGATCTTGAATTCTGTTGTCTTGGATGAGGCCGACATGTTCAATGGTGGTACAGGAGTACCAAGGTTCAGGGCTTGGAAGGTAGGGGTGAGTGAAGTCAGGTTGTCGCCTTTTTCTTCGCCTGCACTAGCTGTCTTGCTCAGTCAGGATCTTTCTGTTCTGGTTTCGAAGTTTCTTTGACACGTATGGATATAGGTGTCTTTCTGGACTTCAATCTTTTGTTACGAACTAGGATAGTTCTTAACAACAAAGGCTCAACAGAGCGTTCACGTTGTTGAGATCTTGTATAGCTCTTCAAATAAGAAGAGGTTCGTAGACTTAGTCAAAGGAGTGCTTTGACTAAGAGATCGGTTCAGACGTCTTAAGATTGGTGGTCTTAAGCGAAGGAAGTTTTCAGGGTAAAACCTAGTAAGATTGAAGTGACGTTTCTAAGTAAAGTACACGTGCTTAAATAGGAAACTATATGCGCACGGACCAAGGCTACGGTGAGATAATAGTACAAAGGTCGAATACGGAAGTAAGACCAAGAAAGGAAAGCTAAGCTGCTAAGAATGTAAGGCGTAATGGCAGATACGTGAGAAGTAAAGGAAGTAGAGCGATTGTAACAGGGAAGGGCTCGGCTAGGGATTGTCAGCTGTCAGTGCACATGTAGTCATGGATACTGGTTATCCTCAACTGGCTTACACAAGTGGCCGGCAAGAGTGCATCTACGGATTGTCGGAATGAGTGACAGATGGGCCCAGTCAATTAGTGTTTGGTCCAGAGTACCAAAAGGGCCTACAGGATATGCCCAGCAGGTCAGGAAGGTCTAGTGAGTGATGTTTGAGTCTATAGAGTGTCTTACTGATCGGCCCAAAGAGTGAAGCATTAAATCTCAGAAAGGCTCATGAGTGCCTGGTACTTGCATATCTGATTTCGGAAGGGGTGACAGATATTACGGTGACATGGATAGCATTTGGTCTCTGAAGGTGACATGGTGAATGTTTATAGGGCTGCGTCTCGGAAAGAGTTGAAATTAGGACTAAATGAAGATGTCGGACCCGCACAAGTCACACAGCAATGCAAATCCGATAAGCAGGTGATGACCGGACAGCCGATCAGCTGGAGACGCCTGGTTCCGGAAGATGGTATGATAATAGGCAGTCATATATGTACTTTATTGATACACCTCTTGGAGGGATGCACCGTGCATGTAGCATCGGTGATGCACCCATGACCGCATGGACTATCTACACCGGATTATCATGCCATTGTCTGTCACAGTTTCATGTGAGCATCATGAAATTGAAGCATTCCCTCACCATGGATCACAACATATTGAGGGGAATAACAATGTGGTTCTCATCTAACAAATACAGAGAGTGAGAACCGGAATACAAGGGAAAGTGACCGGGAACAGCACAAAAGAATAGCTAAAAGTACACTATATATGGTATTGGAAACTAGTTTGTTCTACATATACCGGAGGTGGCGACATCGCTCTCTACCGGGCATCTGAGGCATTGAGGCGTTGCTCCAGTGCGTTCAACCGCTGGTGGAGGATATTTTCCACCGAACACACTCTTATCTCCAAGGCATCCACATGGTCATTGGTGGCAAAGAGATCCAGTCTCTTGCTGAGGTCCCAGATTCCCTGCAGGATGTCCCTTGCAGCTGGCTCGGGATTGGCGATGTTGGCTGGCGCTGGCTGATCATCCTGTTCCGGCCGAGGGCTTGTGCCAATGGTTGGGAGTTTGCACATGGGCACACCAGCCGGCGGACCACGCTGTTGCTTCTCCTCTGAGAGTCATCTGGATTGGTTTCAAGATCCTTGCCGGATTTGAAAGCAAACTCACCTTCAACTATAGCCATGGCGGCCTTTGCTTGCACTCTCTGCCTGACACCGACGCCGTTGATCGCACAAGTAATCTTCATGTGGTCGCAGTTTGCGCATGCAAGTCGAATGTAGCCGAACTTTTTGTCCAGAAGGACAATGCAGGGTATGTCCAATTTTGTGCACTTGTTGCACTGCCGAGGATGGTAATGAACAGAATGCTTGACATATGTTAGCCATGGGCTCCTGTGAATGTACTGACAGACTTACCTGGCACGGAGTGGTGATGTGAGCATCTGAGCCCAATTCTGCAGGCTTTGAAATTGGTCAGCATACCAGCGCTATAGATAAGTGCAGATCACATACCCGAGTGTCTGCGTCCCAGAAAGCCTTTTATCGCCTGGCGGAACAACCTTGTCAGTGGTGACGGTCAGTAATGTCTGCAGCGGTAAGTCATTGGATGCATGAACCAAGATCAACAGACATACCTTTGGCTTCACATTGATGATTCCTGTTGGCCTATTGTCGACATTCTGGTTCAACTTCCTCGTCTTCTTCATCGGCTCTTGGGACGCGGAAGCCAACTTGGAGGCTTCAATTACATCAGCCCCATCGGTATCTTCATCATCCACCTTTCTCTTCTTGCTATCGCCAGCCTCGAAAAGTGCCTTCCATTGTTCCCTCTCAGCTTCGGCCACATACAAATGGCGGTATCTCAAGGGTGGATGTGCCGGACAACTGAGAGGTGGCAGGTTCTTGAGCACTTGTGGGCGGGAAGATCGTTTTCGTTCCGCTACTGGCTTGGTGATGATATCCAGGTCTGTGCGGGATGGATTCTTGTGTGCTCATAAGCGCGATGATCGTCTCGGTTCCGCCACCAGCTTGGCAACAAGATCCAGGTCTGTGCGGGATGGCAGGGAAGGGAGAGCTGAGGGTGTGAGTGGCAGGACAATGAGAGCTGAAGTGGTTGCAGGAATGGTTGTGGGAATGCTCGATGTTGCAATGACAGGGACATCAAGCGCAGAGGGTGGGTGATAGTGGATGGTCTTCTGGAATTGTGGGTGGTCCTTGATTCATGGGTCGTTGTCAGTAACAGAGGTCCAGTCGGGGACACTCTGAAAGGTGCCGCCCCTTGAGTACTGCCAGATAATGGCAGCACAGGAGAGTAGGAGAGGAGAGAATGATGTTGCTGTTCCCGCGTAAAGTTTCAAGTCTCTTGCCTGTATCAAATGTTAGTTTGACACAAAGCATTTTGAGGGGAACATCAGAAATACTCACCATGCGCCTGGCTATCTCATCCGATAGCTTCAAGGCCTCAGGATCGCCCTCCTTCACCTTGATGCATCGCTTCATGAGCGATTGCACAATGACCAGTGTGACTTTCAATGCGTCATTAGCTGCTTCCGGAGGTACAGACATGATGGATTTGTAAACAAAATATGGTGGTGCAGAGGGAAATGAATACATTAGATATCAAAAGCTGATTTTGGGAGATTCCGACAAGGCTGGATTTTATCAATCCGGTTATGAGTGTTACTGGAAAGTGATGGATTGTGGATTGTGGATTGGAAATTTGTAGTCTCAGTCTTGTATCCATGAGAGGTCTGACAATTGTTCGACACAATGTTACGTAATAACCCGTCCACCACTCCCCGGATGAATGAATCCGAATGTGGTAATGGTTATAACAGTTCAAAATGATTGCTCTAATATTGCATTCATCTGGCACTGGAGTGAGAATAAAACATTTGGCTCCTGCTGGTAAAGCATTCTTTATTCCAACTGTGTATACTGTGCAAGTAGGCCTAACCATCAAACTTCTACACTACATAACACAAGATTGTGAGTAATATCAGGTGTCTAGCACCACATATATGCAACTGAACTCTGTAATGATATATCAATGCCGATCCGGATTTAATGTTCATATTCATGCTGACGGCATGGGTCTGCCGGGCCCTGCTATAAACACGAGATTGTCATAATCAATACCATTCTCTAAATATAGGGCGACATGCCAGTGGCTTGTGATACTTATGTTCTGGATGCTGGTATAGCTAATAGATGGATATGTGCCTCACAGCATGCAACCGAATAATATCAGATCCTGATCTGACGTGAATATTCATGTCGGATGAATATGCAGTACATATAGCATCCGCTGGGCCGTAGTCGGGAGTGACAAACCTTGCATTCATGCCTGTTCCACAACCACAAGAACCATCCAAACCAGAGCATTATGCCGTTGGATATATCACACCTTGATACTCAGACAACTTAGTTCTGAAATGCTAACACAATATTCAAATTGATCTTCCTAGACCAGGCTAACTATAAACGTCACACACCTTCCAATACAGGATCCCATTTAATATTGTCGGTATGTAGGAGCACCAAATGAATGCAATCAAAACTAAGTAAAGACATGACATCATCACTGTCCATCAGGATCCAATAATAAGTATTTAATCATTGGATATCATTGAGAGATCGCTAGAGGTGTCTGGTGATACATCCACTGCCGGGACCATGGAATCGACAGTTTCCGTAATGAGCACAGCAGATGCTGAGGTACCAACATGCTCTTGAACACCCATCATCACGGATGCATCCCACGCATGAGTCCACTGTCGGCCGATTGCTGAGATGTGCGGGTCTTCATCACTCTGAGTGAGCCAGGCCGGCAGGTGTGCATTTGCATGACTTAGGGGGGCATAAGTGGTAGTGTTGATCCGGGAATGATGTGCAGTAAGATCATCTTTATGGTCCCGAAGAGCAATGGTTAAATGGCCAACAGAAGCTGACATTGCTCTCCATTCTGTATCAGATGAATTGAGATGTTGCTCAAGTGCACTCAATCGCCGTCCAAAGACATCTTCCACCGAACCGAGTCTTGCATCCAACTCATCGACCCTTTCGCTGGTGGCGAGAAGATCAAGCTGCCTTCCAAGGTCCTGGATGCTCTGGAGGATGTCCCTTGCAGTTGGCTTGGGCTGCGCAGGATTGACTGCTTGCGGCATTTTCGCCTCAGCTTGCACCGATGGGTACATCATAGGCATCGGTTGAACCTCTGTGTGAACCGGTGGAATATCAACAGACATTGGGTTAGCATCCGGTGCAGAGTCTTGATAAGTTTCAGTTCAAGTACCAACTGTGGAATGAAAATATTCACCTCCGTGTTCAATGTTGTTAGGCTCAACATCCAAAGAGGACAGTGCCGGCAGTATCAAGATCTGCCGGGACCGGGTATTGACCGGAGTATTGTTCACAACTCAGGACTTGGGGGCACATGACTTAGAGTGTCTGACAGGGTGGGCATCACCTGCTGCTGTGGCCTTTGCCTGCATTCTTTCCCGGACGCCGACTCCGTTGATCGCACATGTGATCTTCATATCATCACAATTAGCACAGGCAAGTCGAATGTATCCGAACTTCTTATCCGGGAGGACAAGACAGGCCACACTCAATTTGGTGCACTTGTTGCATTTCTGTGGGTGATGACGAACGGAATACTTCAAACATCTTAGCGTCAATGATATTTCATGCAAATAATAATGAGGTTACCTTCACTGCCGTGGCAATAGCAGAGTCCTGGCCCCATTCAACAGGCTGATAAATATCCGAGTCAACATCTGCAGTTAGCCCAATAAAAACACTTACCCTGCTTTCTGCATCCCAGAAACCTCTATCATCTGTGCCTTCCGAGTGATGCGAACGTGCCGATGCCAAATCCTCTTTGGTGATGCGCTGTGATGGTACCACCTTAGGGAATATAATCATGTGGTGGGTCAGCTATGCCAAACGAAAGACGCGGAACTCACCTGCGTCAGAACTGGGTTGGTAGTTTCATTGTCTTCATCAGCCGACATTACCCTTTTCCTCTTCAGAACAGACTTCCGTGACCGGGAAATCGAGTTGTCAACTATTTTAGCCTCTACCAGTTGGTCATCTTCTGCCCGTCTCTTCTTACCATTGCCACCCTTTGGAATTGCATTCACCGCATTCTTAATGCCTGGCACAAAAAGGTTGTATTTCAGCGGAATTGGAGCTGACACAGGAAGGGGGGTCAGAGGTTCCAATGCCTTTGAGAATGGGGATGGTGACAATGGCGACAGTTCTATTGCCGGTGTGGCAGATATGCTCGAATGGTCTATGTCTCCAGGAGGAGGGGCTGAAGTAGATATAGCCGCGACAGGTGGTGTTGTCAATGAGACCAGTGCCGAAGTTCCAGAGGAAGAGGAAGAGGAGGATATTCTTGTTATTGCTGTTGGAGTCTGAGCATCAGGAAGAACAGGACTTTCAATGCTGACGATAGGGCGGTAATTGATTGTCTTGTTGAACCATGGGTGACCCTTAATTCTCGGATCCTTGTCAGTAACAGACCCCCAATCCGGCAAAGTCTGAAAGATGCCACCCTTTGAGCAGTCTCTCACAATGGCTGCACATGACAATAGTTCTGGGGACAACAAAGTGGCAATCCCTGCATGACACTTCAAGTTATTTGCCTTTGTCAAAGGTGTTCATATTAATGAAAGTAATAACATTGTAGCAACAAACTACACTCACAAGCCGTCTGGCGATCTCATCCGAGAGTTTCAATGCTTCTGGATCGCCTTGCCGCAACATCATGCACCGCTTCATCAACAATTGCACAGCCGCCAGTGTTTCATTCAAAGCCTCATTAGCTGTGTCCGCAGGTGTCATGGCGATGTTAAAACTTTGTTGCAGGGTAATGGGTGAGATAGTATACAGAAGGGACAGAAAGGTGACTTTGAAAAATTTGCACACGGGTCGGGATTTATATCCAGACATCGGTTTGTGGCTCTTCCCGAGTGTTGTGCAATGTGAAGAAGATGGATATGATGACGTAAGATCATGACAGCGTCCACCATTGTTCAAAGGTCCACAGTTGTGACACGGTGCCACTCATCGGATTGTTTGTTTATCCTCCTCGAATCTTTTTCAAACCAAACCATGATGATACCAAGAAAAGTTCGGTTTGTTATTCCCGAACAGCCATACATTGGCAATACCCCCTCCATGTTCTCCATATATGGCAGCAATGTCGAAAGAGACAGTCCAGCAGCACTATGCCTTCCTCTGGACAAAGATCCCATCGCCTGGTGGGGTGCATATGTACCATTAGAGTCATGGACTCCTCCTAAGCTGAGAAAATCAAAGTTCAAAGGAGTAGTCGGATTCGCGGACTATCCACATTTTAAAAGTAAGCATGCCCCATCCTGAGCCAGTGTAGATGAGGAATCTTGACTAGATGTGAAAACACTTAAAACAAAAGGGTGCTCAACAGCAAGACCGGGATACGAGACAACGACTCGACCCAAGGGACAACCACTGAGAGAAGTTCCTCAAAATAAAGTGGAGGGAAACTCTATGAGCTAGGCAGGTGCTAACAGGCGCGAGAAGATAATGCGCGTGAAGGCGCGCCTTGAGCGTTAAGGGAAAGGTCCTATTGAGGAGTGAATGCCCAGATGGATGATTGACAGGAGAATAAGATCTTATAACAAATGAGGAGGTGATCTATACACTTTCCAGTACACAAAGATAAGGGGAAAGTAAGTACCAGAACCAAAGGAAACCCTTCTGTATTTAAGAATGGAGATGGCGCGCTTCCGAGCGCGCTCCTGAACCGAGTAACCATATCAACTCTAATTATAACTAAGTTTAAATAAAATTTCTATAAGTAGCACGGACGTCGGACCGAAGATTTTATTAGTTCAATGGATAAGATAAAAATAACGCACCAGCGAATCAGTAAGGACATGGGACGGATGGACGGACGATAGTGCGAAGACCTATGAGGAGGCGCGCAAAGCGCGCATATAGCGCGTGCGTAGGTAAGGCGCGCCTAAGTGCGCGCGAGTTCGGATAAGGCGCGCGCGAGTGCGCGCGAGACTGGTACTTAGGAGTAGAGCTGTAACATATAGGAACATATGGGTAAAGGCCGTATATTCGGCATTGAGAGGCGCGAGTCTCTACATCTCCTGGGGACTTACATTCTGAGTGTCCCCACTCAGTGCTATAGCGCGGGATCTTGGACTTAGAGAGGTGGTGATAGACAGGGATCAGGTGATCGCAAGAGTAGGGCCGTCCTTTGATGATCGCGAGCATCGATGATGTAATCGGAGGAGATGTTGATAAGAAGATGGACGCGTTCTCGCGATCTCTTGACTTCTTTGTTATCAATATTTCACCATGCCTACTTTCACTGTTGCTATGTTGAACTCTACTCCTTCCCCTGAGCCTGTTCCAGTGGCGCAAGGGCTTCCTGAGGACGCGCCTATGGGCGACGCTAGCGCGGAATCCGATACCGACCGCCTCTTCACCGCTTGGGCCTCCATCCTAGTCTCCCTGGAAGGATGTGTGATGTCCGCGCCTGAACTCAAGCTGGAACTCCTCGAGGATCAAGAGATGTGGTTGCGCGAGTGGTATTCAGTACTGGTGAGTGCGCTTACATGTATTGGTCTTGGTTGTGGACTGACACTCCTAGGCTACTCTGAACGGTTGTTCTACGCGTGCAGGTGTGTTGGCGGTGGCACTGGAGATGGACGACAAAAGCGCGGAGTTGTTAAAGCAAGGGCGGAAGAGTTGTAAGGAGATTGAGGCGGTCGTGAAGGATTGGAAGGCGAAGGCGATTGTGTCAGTTCCTCAGACACCTCCCATGCAAGCTGCGCGCGCCACTGGCGCGTCCGAAATCGAGGCGCGCGCCACTGACATGTCTGGTACTGATGCCAGCAAGAAGGTGCGCCTTCTGTTTCCTGTTGGCGCGCCACTCTATTAACATGTTTGGTTGCGCTAGCTGCGCGCCGGGCGCATGTCTGTGAACAAGGTGCGGCGCTGTGGCACCTGCATTGCCAAGGACATTGACTGTGGAGGCGCGCCTGGTCGCCGGTGCCCTCCTTGCGATGTGTCCAAGTGCGCTTGCACTTTCTGTAAGTCGCGCCTCTTGTCTTATTATTGGCGCGTGCCACTGACTGCTGTGGATTAGCTAAGCGCAACCTTACTGATGCGCCTAAGGCGCACCCGCGCAAACCGATGCCCAAGCGCCCTATCGCAGAGTCTGCAAAGGAAACCGCTTCCTCTATTGCGGTTGAGGATGAAGAAGAATCCGAGGAGTCGGGGATGGATGTGGAGATTGTTGGAGAGCGCTCTGTGGAGGAGAAGGTCGTGCGCGCCTCGCGCGATAATCCTGTGCATGCTGTTGGTCCTTTGGCGTCTGGTTCTGCGCCTAAGGGAAAGGACAAGTTCAAGGATCCAGCGGTGGAGTTGAAAGAGGCGCGCGCGGAATCCGCGCGTTTGAAGGAGGAAAATGCGCACTTGCACACTTCCACTCTCCAGATGCGCCAGTATGCGCGCGCCCAACAGGCGGATCTCCTCAACTATTCCAACAAGTTTTTTGCCATGTCCAACACGTGGGCTGAATTGGAGAGGCAGATCAACGACTCCCTTAAGTAGATGCACCTCTCTTTTGTTTTTCTTGTCTCCTAGGCGCCAATGCGCCTGTACAATATATCTTGTGTTGCCTTGTCCATGTCCATGTCCTTATCTGATTCACTGGGCTTAAGAATTTAAAATGAATAGTATGTAAGTAAATGACAAGCTCGCGACAAGATCAAGGTAATGCAATGGACTTTACTGATTTTCTGCGGGGTGCGCGCCCGTCTTGTCTTCTTTGCGCGCCTTCCATCATCTATTCCTGCCGTGTTGCACCGTGCGCGCCGAGGCGATGACGCGCGCGCGTTAGAAAGTGAAAGTCTAATGAGGTGATTATGCACGCGCTATACAATTAAGATAGTGATCAGTATGTACTTGCGGGGTATTAGCGTGTTTCTTGGTGCATTTGATATATTCTAGAGTCTGTGGGGTTTATGTGCAGGCAATGCGCATTATATGAACAAATGATATGAGAGATATCACCGGATGAAACCTGGGGTAAAACTGAGAGTATGTACTTAATGAAATATTTTTGTGTTCTTCGTATTATCTGGTGTTTTTGTTTTTATGTTTTTGAGGGATGCACATTCGCGCGAATATGATTGGGTGATGCGCGGGCGCGCGGAATATGGTCGCGCGAACTAATTGTCTTGCGCGCACTCGGGCTCATCTTCATTGGGTTCTACAGTTTCATATGCTTCTAGTTCGTCGATACTCTCGTCGTCTACTCCAGTCATTTGGGTTACCGATACGTGCTCCTCGCTACGCGGGTAGTAAGGAATGATGCGAAATGCGGCGAACTGAAGTTTTGATATTGTGCCGTCCAACTCGGCCAACATATATGAGCCTCCCTTCGTGCGACGCACTACGATCATAGGTTCCAAATAGCGTGGCTTCGTCTTCTTGCTCAGCTCGTATTCGACCTTCGAGTTGCATACCAATACTAAGGCGCCGGGTTCGAAGTCGTGCGATTTGATAGACGCACGGAAGCGTCTCTCAAAATCGCGTATGGACTTGTAGCGCGCCGCGACTACTTTATCCCTAATCGCGTTAATATCCTCTACGCGCTTCTGCAATTGGCGCGCGCGCCATGCTATAAGGTCAGTGGTGGTGAACACGCCTCGATTTGGTAAGGGCGCGAGGAACGTCGCTTCTGCAAGATCAAAGGGAAATATTGGCTCGACGCCATGCATCATGAAATAGGGCGATAAACCCGTCGCTTTATGAATGGTGACGCGCTCAGCCCAGAAAACTGAATGAACTACCTGATACCAGTGAGAATCATCTCCGTCGCAGCTTTTAATGATGGCCTCCCGGACATCGTGGTGTCGTCTTTCGACTATACCGTTTGCCTGAGAATTATATGGCGAGATGCGGATTAGGTGAATCCCGTATTTGCGCGCGAGCTCGTCTACTGCGAGACTATATGCGGGCGCGTTGTCCGTCACTATCTCTGTGATCGGGCCCCACCTACACAAGAGCTCCTCGAAAATAAAAGCGGTTAGCGCATTAGTATTCTCTTTGCGCAGCATGCGCCATTCCGGATACGACGTTAGCGCGCATCGCGCTTGCACGAGGTATTCATATCCGCCCGCTCTGGGCATCTTCATCGTGTCGATGTGCGCTTTGCGAAATAGACCTCCTGGTATGGGGACGATTGGAGGAATATGCAGCCTCCTCGTTTGGCGAACTTGGCATTCGTGACACGTTTGTCCGTACCATTTGATGTCTTTGATGATGCGCGGCCACCAAAAGCGTAGCCGTAGGCGCGCGCTGACGGTATAGATACCCTTGTGCCCTAAGTCGTCATGCGCCTCCTTGAGAATGCGATAGCGCTTGTTTGGAGGTAACACAAGTTGATGTTTGCCGTGCGATGCTCTGCGCCATAGGTTGCCTTCCAGAACAAAATAACGCGCCGCGTTGTTCACGAACTTCTCGAATTCTTCATCTGAAACGTCAGTGGGTCTTTCGCGTGTGGTAAGAAACTGTTCTATAGTGGTCATCAGCGCGTCTTGCACGCGCACCGCATCCGAGCGTGGGATATCTGGTTCTGGTTCTTCCGTCTGCGCGACATCAAAGTATACGCGCAACACTGGTACGCGCGTGCTCTGCGAAATGAAACATGTGCGATGCACTTCGTGGTGTATGTCACCCGAACCACCAGCTATATGATGCGTGCAATCGTTCAAAAGCGCGATAGCGAACGAGTATGCGCGATCAATCCAATCCTCATGATTATTGTCCTCTATGGG